ACAGGAAGAGGGCACTGTCGGCTTCATGAAGCTGCTCAAGGGGTTGGCAGTGTCCTTCCTCTGTCTTCTGATATTCAGGGGAGCTTTGAGTAGCTTCAGGAGCCAGGAGAGTCCCTGCCTCTCTGTGGAATGAGAGAGAAAGAATGGATAGCTTTTATGCTGCTGGGGGCGACATCCTGAAAGGCTCCAAATCTTGCATGAAGATTTTTTTGTCTTCATCTTAAACACAGTGAAACACTACTGAAGAAGTCTGAATTGGTGATGACCCTCTGAGAGGCCCTGCCAGCTGCAGGGAAGCAATTAATTAGGAGCAGGATATTAAAACTGAACGGTCCTCAGCCAGGCGTGGTGACACACACCTGTGACCCCAGCCCTCAGGAGACCCAGCCACTCTTTTTGAGCCCGTCTTTTCTGTAGCCAGGTGAGCCCTGCTCTAGTTGGAAGCAGGGATATGGTGCTGCAGAGAACTACGGACTCTTGAGGTACTTGGACATGGAACTAATCCACTAATATTTCTTGGCGTCTAGTTAGGGCACAGTCTTGCTATAAGTGATCAGCCGATCAGATTCCTTTGAGAGCTTGTTACTGTCACAAGTAACAGAGCCTTACACCTACGAAAACATACATATTATCTTTCCCACTACGTAGGGGTTAGACCATGTGAGGGGGTTTCTGCACTGAGGCTTTGGTCTCCCCTGACAACTCTCTCTCCACCCAAAGACCAGTCTTCTCGTGGAAACGAGCAGACAATGATCAACACAATGAACTCTGAGGGTCTCCCTCAGTACTGCCCACCGCTAAATAATATACTGGGAATACTCTTGCTGGAACTGAGAGGCTCCTTACTGCAGAACTTGGCAATGACCACTCCGTTCATTCAATATGCAGTTACTAGACGGGCAGAGGGGCACCTGCCTGTAAGCCCCGCTCTCGGGAAACAGAGGCAGGAGGATCCCAAGTGAGCGGGCATCGTCAGCCACAGGCTGAGTTCATGGCCAGACGGGGCTACTCGAGTTCCTGTCTGAAAAAGTAAAATACTCTAAAGGTCCTTACTGGTGGCTCATTTGATATCAGGTAGGATGTGTCCTTAGACCCTGGTGCTGAGGCTGGAAGCTGACGCAGTATTTCACCGGCAATGAAATGCCATTGCAGGAGCTGTAGTCATTCACACTTCAGTATGATTTAAGCAGATTCTCTCTCCTATGGATTCTTTTAGAAGAGGTGGAATCAGTCATTGGGGATGGGGATCAGGGTTGTATATCAATGGTAGGGTGTGGACTTAATATGAAAGCCCCTGGGTTTAATCTTCAGCACCAAAAAATGTGGGGGAGGGGAGCCATTCAGTGAATCAGTGGAAGCAGTAAGGGAAGATGGGCCTGGAGGCCTGTGATCTAGAACGGAGGCTGGAGGATTATAAATTCAAGACCTGCATGAGCTACAGAGGGAATTCAAGGCCAGCCTGGTCGTCTTATAAAACTGTCTCAACGTAAAAAGAGAGCCGAGGTCTTAGTACTGGAAACCTCAGTGCTGAGACCCCTCTCATACATGACATGTTCAACCCCTAGTCCTGTGAGCGAGTGAGCAAACACAGCCGAAGGAAGGTGTGCAGAGAAGAGCAAGCTGCTTTCAGAACTGGCCGAGTGAGGAAGCAGGCAGACCTGGCTGGCCGCTGGCTCCCATGTGTAGGACCTCGATGAGGAGGGCTGCACAGAGCTCCGTCCAGCTAGGCCTCGTTGAGATAGCTAGTCCAGGGCCAAACAGGTTTATCTTCTCTTCATCTTTTTATCTTTGGCCTTTACTTTTCAAAACCTTCTGCAACCTGTAGAACTCAGTTGGGAGTGGCAGGGTCCATTCTCTGTGTCTGTCTGCATCACGTACGTGCTTTGGCAACGTCAGCCTTGGCTGCTTGCAGCTCATGTCTAGCTTGTGTCCCGAAGATCAGCGACACCATGTGTACTCTAAAACATCAACACGAGTCACCTCTTAAGGTTCCAAGACTTTTAAGTATGAACATTTAAAAAAAAAAAGATACCCTTTCTGTCATTGTGTAATCAAATATATTATGTTCATATCAGCCATCTACCAAGATGTAGATGAGCTTGGATCGTCACTACAGTATCGTTAGGTTACAATAGAAAGATCTACACTGATGTAGAGAAAAGTCTAACTTCTTGTCTGAAAAATAAGAAACATCCATTTGAAGCCAATGATTCATTAACACTTCTTTGAAAATAATATTCATAATGGAAGTTCTAAAATAGGGCTACTGTGGGGTTTTAATTTTTTTTTGCTTTTTTTAAAGATTTTTTTTATCACATTTATTATATGTGAGGGGGTGTGCAGGCTTCTGTCCCCTGGAGTGGGGTTCACAGGCACTGGGAGCCACCTGACTTGGGTGCTGGGATTTGAACTTTGGTCCTCAGGAAGTACAGCACAAGCTCTCTAATGCTACTGTTTGTTATTTAACTTGACTTTTTTTTCTCTCGATCAGTGAGCTCAGTCCCCTCGGAGGCTGCTCCCAGACTGGAATTGGTTGAGTTGTTCTTCACAGCTTCACAGGGGGTGTCTCTGCACACATTTAGTGTGGATTGTTTTAGTGATCGACATTTGCTGACACCACAGGTGCACGCACAAAGAAACATGGCTGAGGGATGAGCAGGACGACTCAGTGCGGAAGACGCTTGCAGTGCAATCCCAGTGACTGGAGTTCGGCTCCAGGAACCCGCCTCCACTTAAGGAAGGAAAGAACAGAACTCACAAAGTTGTCCTCCGACCTGCCCACACACCCTGACACACATGCTCAGGCTCACACATCATGTATACACAAGAATAAGAATTTCAAAATTTGTGATGGATACAACCCCTGGGGAAGCTAACTTTTAACCTGTGTAAAACCCCTACTGTTCCAAGCATGGTGGATCGTTGATGAGTGTGTGTAATAGGCGATGTGTGTGACGCTCAGACCCGACCTTGCCTCTTCATTTAATTGTCTGACCACAGAAGGGGCAAACCCACCTAGTGTTTGCCCTAACTGGATGGCAATGACTGTCGCTTCCAGCGTACTGAATGTAAAGGTATTTCATGAGTCTGACAGTTTGGAGAGTCTCCTGACGAAAGCACAGTGAATGCTCAGTTGTTCACATCTGGCCTGTTCGGTTACGTTAAAACTACGTCTGAACATTAGCAGGCTTTCTTCTCTGAACCTGAGTGGCGGGAATGTCAGCGTCAGTGGTGCCAGAAGCCTGGCTCCCCGCAGCAGCAGCTGGGAGGAGCCAGCTCTACAGTCCTGGCCTTTCCAGAAAGCCTGTGAGCTCACTGTTGCAGTGCAAATCATATAAACTCACAATTAAATGAGCCACATTAAAAGTGAACGTAAGGGCTGGTGCGATAGCTCAGAGATGCACAATATACTTTAATGCTCCCAAGGACTGAACCTCGGTCCCCTGAATACCAGCCAAGCCCTTGACCGCTGGCCTGCACTTCCCAGCTTGATGGTGTGTGCTCCATCGGTGCCCAGCACGGCTGGGACAATGCAGATTACAGAGATCCTGGATTCCTACCCGCCTCCTCTTCTTGAAGTTATTTCTTGTGCTGCGGCCACTGCCTGCTTCCTCCCAGCCCCATGTGGGGCTCCTCATGGTGACAGGGTTTACAGTCCTCAAAACTAAGCAACGTTTTAACCTAGTAGAAATGATTTACATGAGGAATGGATTAAGGTCATAAAAATACGATTATATGGTATATAATCATACACAATCAATGTATGGTTTTGAGGTGGGCAGCAGTTGTGGTGTGAAAAATATAAGAACATCATGAAAAAGATCGGCTGCTGTATGGAAGTTGCTTTATCCGTGTGCCTTCTTCATCACTTGTAGATCAAATGCACCAGAAACATCTGCAGTGAGCACAGGTACATACAGGCAGGCCTAGAGGGCAGTGTGCAAGCTGGCTGGCACCAGCTAAGGCTTGGTGGTACTGGAAAGACTTCTGTTTCCATTAAAATTAGAAATTTTTCCAGTTGAAAAGAGAAGTAAGTGCGACCTCAGCCAAATAATACTATAAGCACATGGGCACTGTGTAAAAGGTCACAGCTGTGGCACGGAAATTGGAGCGTATAGGGTGCTATAATGACCCAGTGTGCACTTCTGGTACAAGGCGAGGACCTGACTTTAGATCCCGAGAATCCAGAGAAAGCTTATTCGGTAGCAGGCATTGTAATCCCAAGGCTCCTGGCAAGGAGGCAGACAGTCCGGAACACCCCAGAAGACAGCTGGCCTGGCAAACAGCGCACAGAGCAAGATACCATCTCCAGGTAGAAGGAGAGGACAAGCGCATGAGCTTCATCCTGACCAAATGTGCAAACCTGGTCACGTGTGGACACATGAACTCAAACACACATGGCATACACGCCAAGATTTTAGAGAGAAATTGGAGAACGTGAACTATTTATAGCTTTGGCTTTAAAAAAAAATGTTTTAAGTCTAATTTCTGGACCAGGTCTAATTCACCTTATTTTAGCATTTTCACCTTTAAACTTGGGGGGAAACGAGCAACAGTCCAGTCGTGGGTAACACCCACTCTGTCCATGATTTGACATGGCCGGGCAGCCCACCCATTGCTCGCCTGCCAGGACCAAAGGTGAACCTGAAGACTGAGCAAACAGCGTCTTCCCCAGCCAGCTCAGAGAAGGGGCTGAGAGATAGGCCTGGGTTTCCAACCACCTGTTCTTTATTTCAACACAAACTCTGTCCCAACACGTGTAAAATGCTCCTCAGACTGAGTCAAAAAAAAAAAAAAAACAAAAAAAAAACAAAAAAAACAGGACGTGCTGATAGCTGCTGTCTTTCTTTTTTTGAAATTGTTCCGGTAATTTCCCAAAACGCCAACAACAACAAAATCCAGACCTGAAATGTACATGTGTTATGTGAAAACGTGGAAAAAAAAAAAAAAAAGGTAACGGGGGTCCATTATATAACTGCCATCTTCTGTTTTTATTCAAGGTGTCATAAAACTGAGTTCTGCCGTGGAAGGTACGTTTTGTTTTACAAACCACAAAATCGGTACTGTTCTGCTTCGCGGCTGCACAGCGTGGCCCATAGCTAGCAAGCTTCTGTGGCCGTGGTGTTGGACGCCATGTTCCGCTTGCCAGCTGTCACCATTTTGTCTGCGTTTGCCCCTCGTTCTGGTCCTGTGATCCCACAAGCCTCTGGGCCTCCACAGCGGCCTTAGCGGCCCTGCCAGGACCGCGTCAGGAGAGCCCCTGTGTGTCTGCCTTTCCTTGTGTGGTTGCCTCAGAGCCGGAGCTCCTGAAGAGCCGCTGGCTCCAGGGCCTAGGTGGATGTGAAGGCCTGTCGGGAGCCGCCACCGTTAGCAAGGCCTTAGGCAGCAGAGCCCTGGTCCTTGGTGAAACCCATGGGCCCGAAGAATCGTTGAGGCTCTTCAGGGCCCCTGCCAGCCTAACAGCAAGTGTTTGGGCACTCCACCTGCCACACCATGCGGGGATGACCCAGCATGGTGGTGCACGCTGGAAATCGTAGCACATGAAAAATGGAGGCGAGGAGGGTCCATGCGTAGTTGGAAAACAGCCTAGGCTACTGAGACTGTCTCACAAAAACAAAATAACGTAAACAAAGGATGCTGTGCGGCCAGCTTTGTGTCGCCTAGTTAATGAGTAGCGATTTCCCTCTGCTGCTTACTACATAAAGACCCTGAGCTTTTTCTCTGGCTCCGAAACAAAACAATTAGTAGATAAAATACGACAAAGAAAATACAAACTCATTGGGCAGCAGCACATTTCACTGAGGGATGCCCAGGACTCATCACTTCCCTGTAACCCCAACGCTCAGAAGGCCGAGGTAGGAGAATCAAGAGTTTGAGGCCAGCTTGGGCCACATAGCGAGCCCCTGGTCAGCCAGAGCTGTGATAGTTAAGGCCTGTAAGAACAGAAAACAAACGGCAACCATGAACATCTCTCATTATCTGGAGTGATGGTGATTAAGTGGTATTTAAAAAAAAAAAATGATGCTCTCACCTCATAGTTCAAACCTACAGAGTGTGAACTTGCTTTTTGTGAGTCTCGTGTTTGTTCTGGGGTATGTCCTGTTCGTTGGGAGTGTGCTAGTCTTGCCCACGAGCTGTCTTCATCCTCTCGGGGGAGGCTGCTTGAAGGGAGTGGTGGGTTTCAGGCGAGCTTTGCAGCTTGCAGGGAAATGTGGCCTGGTGAGCGGGGACTGCCCAGAGCCGAGGAGAGACCTGAAGGGAAGAAGAATGCAGATGGCTGGGTCTGAAAGCTAGAAGTTGAAAGAGGAGCTTCGGAACTCACTCGGGAGACGGGGAAAGCCAGGCTCAGTCCCCTCGTGGGTTCAGTGCCTCCACGGGCTCTGATGCCAAATCCCAAAGGCAGGGTTTGACATTGACCATAGTCAGGGAATAACATGGAGGGGTTGCTATGGAGCTCGGTGGCAGGGTGTTGCCTGGTGTAGGCAGGGTCCCCCCCCCCACACGCACACACACCATCACACCATGAAAATAAAGACCAGGTAGTATGCTCCACAGGACAGAGGGAGAGAGTAACATTAATCACGCCCAGCACAGCAGAGAGCACACATTTCAGGCCTCTGTATGGCTACATCAACATAGAAAGCCTCTCCAGTCTGTTCCACGCTGATCAAAGTGCAAGAGCCAGGGCTGGAAGATGGCTCAGGGATGAGAGTACTCAGGGATAAGAGTGCTCGTTCTGTCCCCATGAAGACCTGGATCTAAGCCCGGGACCCACATAGAAAGCAGAGCACGGCTTGCAAATGCTGTAACTCCAGCACTGCACGGCACGCATGTCAGAACACACCACGGCCGGCCACCCTGGCCAGAGCCATGCCCTCCCCTTTCAGTGAGAGGCCCTGACTCACGGCTATTAGGCACGGGGCAATAGAGGAAGATGCCAACGCTCTGTTCTGGTCTCTTACACACACCCCATACACACGCGCGCACACACACACACACACACACACACACACACACATAGCCACACACACACACACACACATGCATGCACTCATACATACACACATACATAGGCATACATACACACATACACAAACAGGTGTGCCTACCTGAACTCATCATACACATATCCCACACACAGAGACACATAGCAAAACGAATCATAATGACACACAGGACAATGGCACTCTGGGCCTGGAGGCTCAGTTAACTCTGCACGGCAACAGGGCAGAGTTGGTCACCTGAAGCCATCACAGCGTTTTCTGAAAGAATCAGAAGCCTCATCTTGTTGCCCGATTGACGAAAGCTCAGTATCCCCCCCCCACCCACACACAACAATAGGACACAGCATTCCTCTGCTAGAGGCTAGTGCTGGATTCAGTGCTCTTTCTCAGGGCCCCAGGCAGGTACATCCCCCGGAGGAAGATGAGGAGGTGGGGGAGAGTGAGGGCACCAGCAGACTGGCCATCCAGAGCCAGAGCGTGTCTAGCAGCTCCTGCCTACCTCCCCAGGGTCACAGGAAGTTCTCTCAGACGGGTAAGGCACCAGAGGTCACCGCTGCTTGGGCGTCTCATTGGCTGAGTGCTGTGAAAGCTTGCAGGCTCACAAGCATGCTGTGTCGCAGCTGTGTTCAAGTATCTGTGTCCAGGGGCCGTTTGGGACTGCGTTGTTGGTGCGGGGCGGGGGTAGCGTGTTCAATGCATGCATTCTTGGTGCATCCAGAACGGGAGGCTCTTAGGAGCATGCTCGGTGGAATGTGTGTGTCACATGACAGCCTCTTGTTGGGCAGTGAAAGGTCAACTGTTGGGTTAATTGCCAGACTTGCTGTTTTCCATCGATGGAATGTATTCGAGGCAGCTTCTGGGAGCTTCTCTGGGGCCAGGAATACACAGGTCCCTGGGAGAGACCTGTTGTCAGAAACGAAACTTCTTTCCTTTTCTCTAAAAATGACTCTTCTGAATTGTCCTAGAACTCTGAAACTAGTGTTAAGATTTTAGGTAGGTTCTCATCTTTTCTGCTTTTTATGGAAGAACATTGGGGAGGGGTGTCAATTATTGATAAATTGTTTGCTTAGAGTCCATGGGGCCCTAGGTTCAAGTCTCACCAAAGGAGAAAAAGAGACTTTGAAAGTCATCAGAGAAAACTCTACAGAGGCTCCACTTGCTTTCTCTTACTAAGAATTTCGTCATATGCTTTCGTAGTTTCCATTTTCTAGAACACTGTGTCTCCTTCAGCATTTTGTAGCTACGTGTGAGCACAGAGGGGAGAAAGCTCTTTGTCACATTGGTGGCAAACTTTAAAGTGAAATGTTCTCAGAAAGATTTAAATATATACCTACACAGAAACACACAGTAATCCTTTCTTTTGCAATGAAGAAAACTGTTTGAACAGGAAAAAAAAAAACAAAAAAAAACTTTTTTTAACTACAATATTTTATCATTATCCTTGATCGATCATTGCCTTTAATTTTAAATTGATAGTTCCAAACTCAGGGCTGGGGAGTTTGGAATGGCAGAGCTTTGCTTAGCACCACAAGGCCCTGGGTTCAATCTCAGGGAAAGAGAGAGAGACAGAGACAGAGAGAGAAATGGGAAGCTCAGCACATACAGGCACTTCCTTCCACACCTAAGGCTGATTTCAAACTCTGGGACCCACCTGACGGAAGGTAAAAACTGACATCAGCTCCTCTGACTACACGCATGCGCGGTGTGTTTTCATTTTAAAATTAAAAGAACATCAGATGTCTAGTTCCAAACTCAGGAAAACTGTAGGAAGAGAGAAAAGACTAGAATCAACACCTGAGATAAAATCGGGGCGGTGGCGTGGGAAAGAAAGCATTCCATGGCATGGATCCCAGATGAGAATCCCCCAAATGCCCCTCTTGAAAGGGATTTTCTCTCCTGAAATTGGAACAGACAGGAAAAGAGCCTTATCAAGGAGCAATCGGGACTAGTCAGGGCTGGACAGCCTGAGCCAGACCTGGCCCTGACAGCCGAGAGGCTGCTGTGTCTTCCCAGGAGGGCTGGGATGGTATGCTTGACTCAAGTCAGGGTGTTCTGGTCGCTGGCAGCCCGCTGGACAAGACAAGGCAGCCGCGCTGTCAGGTCGTACAGACTACTGCGGATATACAGGTGTGTTCTGTGATAAGATCCCCTCAAGGGTCATTTGTTGAAGCCTTTACAGGTAAGAATTCCAAACACCAGAAGACAGAAAATTCTTCTGAAAGCCCAGAGGGAAGTGTGCTTAAGAAAGGTCCCATGACTTTAAAACTATGAGTAAATAAGCTATAATCCAAGCTTTCCCTTCCCTCCCTCCTTACGGGGGTGCTGGAGTTCGGGTGCCCCATTTATACAGTCAGAGTGAGGCTGTGAGTGCTTGTAGCCATGACTCTAAGGATGAACACTTCAGACCCCTAAGCAGAACCTCCCCTGGGCAAATTCTCAGAAACTCTTTTTCTTTTCCCTTCTCACTTCATCCTATTCCGATATGTAAAACTCCCCTGCAACCCCAGTACTCAGAAGGCAGAGGCAGGTGGAGCTTTGTGAGTTCAAGTCAAGCCTAGTCTACATAGTGAGACCCTGTCTCAAACAACAACAATAGCACTTGTAAAAACAGTATCTTTTTGTTCCCAGTGATGGAGGATGAGTACTCTCCACCAGAGCAGTGGACTTTGGACTGTCATATCCAAGGTGATGCTTGCTGCAGGTTCATGGACTCTGGACCATCAAATAGAAAGATATCTCAAGAGAGTAAAAACAAGGCCAGAGAAATGGTTCAGTAACAGGAACTTTGCCTCCAAGTTTGATGACCTGAATTCAATTCCCAGTACCTACGTGGTAGGAGAGCGTGGAGTTCCCAAAGTTATCCTCTGACCTCCACATCCATATAGCTGCACATGTGTGTGTGTGTGCGCGCGCACACACACACACACACACACACACACACACACACACATACATGCTTTTTTTAAGGAATAGGAAAGCCTGTCATGGTGGTGCACGCCTGCAATCCCTCCAGTTGGGAGGCAAAG